GTAATGTATAATTGTATTAATCCAAAACTGTGAACCTAAAAATTTACAGCCGATTTTGAAAGAGATGCATCTTTGCTCTGGAAATGGTTTTTGAATATGTCAATGCTGTTGTAATGAAATGCTTCTACTAATTATGTAGTTATTAAATAAATTAAAATAAATAAAATTAAGTCTTATCAAGCAAAAAAAAATAGGTCTGCATGCTCAGATTACAGTGGTCTACAGTTTCCAAAATGGAATTTTCTTAAGAAAAGGCACTCCAAATTACACATACACACACACACACACACACACACACACACACAAATTTGAAACACAATTCATTTATTAGGCACTATTACTTCACTGGTCACTTCACATCGATTTTAGCCAATTATACCTGAATACTGCCTCTGCCACAGACTGAAGCAATATTTCTTAACAAATACATACTGATCTCTTCAGACGGCTTAACTTTAGTTCAAATTCTAGTCATAGTTTAGTTTTTTGACTTTAAGAAGTTAATTTCTTTGGCCTTAGTGTCCTGATCTACAAAGTAGAAATAGTATCTATCTTATAAATTGTTGTGGGGGATATTAATGAAATAGTTAGAATTATGCTGGTATACATTGTTCAATAAATGTTACTACTGCTAGCAAGTGTTTTCTATTTGTATAGTTTCAGAGTTTGCATATACCATTGACACTAGTATAAATAGGCTCCTGTTAAAATCCATGCATGAGGGGCTGGTGAGATGGCTCAGCAGTTAAGAAGAGCATTGGCTGCTTTTGCAGAGGATCCAGGTTTGGCCAACACCCTCAATGCAGCTAACAACTGTCCATAACTCCACTAAGTCAGCTTTCTAGCCCCCATATCAATAGTGTTTAAAACATTATTATTATTCACAGAGGAAATGATCTAGGATATATGCCCAAGTAAGAATAATGAGGAGTGGATTTTTCTTCTTTCACTTCTAATTTTTTGTAGGGTGGTCGTGTGTGTTTTATCATGACAAGAATTATAAAGACTTAATTCAGGTACACACACGGACAGTACAAAGGGAAAATGATACTTGGGTGCTCACCTGTCTTGATTCTTCACCTTCTGTCTCCTGTAGGGCAAACAGATACACAGAAACACTGAACTGTAAGGCCCATCGGAGGTACAGCCAGGTGGACAACTTGAAAGGGAAATGGCAACAATGGGCTGATGAACACATACAGTCACAGAAGCTCAATCCCTTCAGTGAAGAGTTTGACTATGACCTGGCCATGTCCACTCGGCTACAGAAGGGAGATGAAGGCTATGGACGTCCCAAGGAGGGAAGCAAGACAGCTGAAAGGGCCAAGCGAGCGGAAGAGCACATCCACAGAGAAATTATGGAGCTGTGCTTTGTTATCCGCACGATGGCTCGCCACAGACGAGATGGCAAGATCCAGGTAACTTTTGGAGAACTCTTTGACAGATATGTTCGTATTTCAGATAAAGTAGTGGGCATTCTCATGCGTGCCAGGAAACACGGACTGGTGTACTTTGAAGGAGAGATGTTATGGCAGGGCCGAGACGATCATGTTGTGATTACCCTACTGGAGTGAGCCTGCAACAAATCAAATTGACTGCTACTGTCCTACTGTCAAATGCTAATGTATTAAAATGAAAATGCAAGTTGTTCTGTAATGTTAATAAAGACTAAATAATTTTTATATAAATGACTTTTTGTACTATTTCTATAATGAAGATTTTGACAAAGCATACACAAAACGTTTTAAAAGTACAAAGAGTATTATTAAGATATAATCAATATATTGATGAGATTCCACTTACTATTTTAAGCAAAAATATTTGGCCTTCATTGATGATTTTTTTTTTTCTGTCTTTTGGAAGCAGGATCTCCCTGTAGCCCCAGCTGTCCTGGAACTCACTATGTAGACCAGGCTGGCCTTGATGAAATTTTTATACATTTAAAATCACACATTACAGTTAATAAGAAAGCTGACCTTGGTAAAAAAAATATATTACCTGTGAGTCATTTTTAGGAAAAAAACTAAAAAACTAAAAACTAAAGTTTGAGGGGGTTTTTTGGTGTTTTTTTTTTTGAAGACAGGGTCACTAGCTCAGACTGCAGACTGGTCTCAAACTATGTAGCTAATGCTGAGTTCCAACTCTTGATCTTGCCTCCACTTCCTTAGGATTGGGACTGCAGGTATGTGTGCCACCACGGCTGCCTCATGTGGTGCATCAAACTCAGGGCCTCACGCCTGCTAGGCAAGTATTCTACCAACAGGGACATTCTCTAGTTCTTAAAAGTTATAGCATCACTTCTGGTACATATGAAAGTTTTTAACAAGATGTTGAAGTTCCTTGTGAGCTTGGATTGCAATACTATCCTATGGGAGTGATCCTTCCTCTTTCTGATTTGCACAAACTGCACAGAAATAGATGCCATCAGTGGCCTTATGACCAACAGGGAAGGTTATGTTGACCGGGTAAGTGAAGTAGAGTCAGGAGCTACAGTTCTGCCCCTTGTGAAGCTTCATGGAATTTGCTGTTTTTTCTTAATGCCTCAGGGAGTCGTGCTGCTTACATTTACACCAAAGTCCAAGGAAGAGAGAAATACAGAAAATTCTACGAAGTGTAGACAGAAAAAAATCTCAGAGACTCATTAAATTGTAAACCTGAGACATTTCTTCATAGCCTCAAAAAAACTGTTATGAAATGTATAAAAGTTCTAAGACAGCAGTATTAGACTTACCAAGGTGCAAAAGAAAAACTACAATCACCATGATGACAAGGAGGTTGACACTGACCTATTAGTGGTCTGTTTTTCTCCTTAATGTGTTACACAGTCCTAAAAAAGAACTGAACACAATGTGAGACTACAATCCTTAGCGAATTCAAAGTTATTAAAATTAAAATGGGTATAGTTCTTTTCTGTTAAATACAAAATCTCAAGGTATTATCTCTCAGAATAATGGGGATCCATATTGTTTCACGATAAGATTTATATAAAATTCAGATCAAATTACTTTACGAATTATCTTTGTTTTCATGCCCAATTCTCTTTCAAACTGAAAATTCCAATATTTTAAAGAAGATATGTAATTTTTATTTCCATATTGGCTTGATAAGGGAGACATTAGTTATGACTAATATTTCTAAGTAAAATTTCTTAGCAAAAAAGTACACAGATTTTAAACTGTGAGACCTTTGTCTGCATTTAAGAAAAAATGGCAGAGAAAAAAAGCAGCTTATATTTTTCTGTTCTTGTTTATGTACTTTTAGAGTCCATATACTGCTTTGTGTTTGAAATACAAAATCAGAGTATAACATGGGACATTGCTTTGTCAGTATCTTAACCAAGGTTCCACGAGATCCTTCATATTCAACTCTAAAAAGATTTTACAGACTCAATTTGTTTGCACTTAAGGATGCACTGACAGTCTTAGAAGGTCGCTATTCATGAACATTTCCGAACAGCACCAGACTCAGCATCCACAGAGGGACAAGCTGTGTGTCAGGCAGACCTGACAAGCAGGTTGAAAGCATCACTACTACAGCTGTTGTGAGACACAGAAGTCTTTCGAGGTTTGTAGAATTTTTTTCTTACCTCATTGCCTATTATTGTGTTTAATATTTAATCGTAAGATTATTTGTCCTATTATTATTTCCTGATTTGGAATAAAACAATTCTCTTTTCAACAGTGATTATTATCTAAAAAACTCCATGATAGGAAAATGCAATTGAAAAACATAGAACATTTTGACCAAAAAGATATCTAAAAACTCAGTAAATAAACTAATTGAAAGGATTTTAGTTACCAAAGTATATATTTTATCATAAATTCCCAATAGCATGCAGTTGACTTTTTCCAACCCCCAAGATTTTTTTCCCATCTTTTGACCAGATCTTAAGTTTTTACACTGTACATTCTTCTTTGTACCATCTGAATATTTGATTCAACTTTCATTACCTGGAGTTTTATGACTTCCTGATTCTGAAGTTCACCTTCATCACTGCACTCACATCCTGAGAAGAGATGTTCTTAGCTTGGGTATTTCTTGGGTCTCATTGTATGGCAAAATGAGACCACAAACTCTTGCTTGTTTTCTAGTAACTCCAGTTCCTTCTTTTCCTAATTATCAAGATACAATGTAAAATTACCTTTTGCATTTCTTAGATATAGGAATAATTCTATGAAAAGTAGAATTTTATATGAATAGGAACTCGAAGATCATTACACCTTTTTTTAATTGTCACTCCATTTAGCGACTTTTAAGACAAACCATGGGGCCCATGTTGCAATGGTCGCTTAGTGCAGATGCCTTCTGAGGACTCCTAGAACATGCATACTTCATACCCAGTATTTAAACTAATTATCTGAGCATTTCCTAGTATAAGCACAGTTGATGGCTTTTATATAACTTACAGATAACCTAATATATAGCAGTTAAGTGCAGCTTCTATCATCACAGTACCTTACCTGTGCCCAGATGTGGGAGACAAGCCAGAATCTGACAAAATTACAGTTCACTTTCTCTTTCATCAATAAATTGGACTCCTAAAGTTTCTCTTGCAGATAAAATTCAAGCAATATTAAAATACATATGTATACACTATATATATAAATGTTTATTAAGATATTTTGGAAATTGGGGCTGGAGAGATGGCTCAGAGGTTAAGAACACTGGTTGTTCTTGCAGAAGACCTGGGTTTGAATCCCAGCACCCACATGGCAGCTAACAACTATTTGTAACTCCAATTCCAGGGGATCCGACAGCCTCTTCTGTCCTCCATGGATATTGCACGACACGGGTACACTTACTTACATGCAAGTAATACACGCATACACATAAAATAAAAATTGTAAAATAAAATAAAATAAAGATATTTTGGAAATAAGGGTAACCAGAAATGAGATCAACTTCCTGTAGGGTGACTACAAATAGGCTGAGAGAAGAGACAGTCTTAGACTTTTGGAAACTATGTTCCATCTCTTTCGACAAACAATATACCCAGTATTGCTGAGTACAGATCAAGGAATTAAATGCCCTGGTCAAAGATGTTCATGATTTGCTTTACTGACATTGCCATTTCCCATGTGTTCCACCTCACATTCACATTCCCTTTGAAATAGCTATTTCAAACCTCCTGAGAATTGTGTCTTGTGACTTTTTTGTTGTTTATAAGAGAGCTGGTTTTGTGATATTATTTCGTTCTGAAGCTTGTAATATTGGGCATCTTGGCCTCAAAAAGCAATTTGAGAAGTGCTCTTTTCTTTGTATCCCAAAGAATTCATCTAAGCCTACCATTACTTTTTCCTTAAATGCCTAGGATTAACCAGAAGAATCATCTGGCTTGGAATATTTTGCAAGAAGGCTTTTTATTATTATTATTATTATTATTATTTTCTTTTTTTTTTTTTTTGAAATAGGGTCTCCCTACAGCCCTAGCTGGCCAGGAACTCACTATATAGACCAGGCTGGCCACAATCTCATGAGATCTGCCTGTCTCTGCCTCTGCCTCCTGAGTGTGTAATAGTTGTCGGTTTTTTCAATCAGGTTCAAATTTGATGTTTTTGTTTCTTGGATCAGGTCTACACTATGCTTTCCAAAATGTTTTTCCATTTCCCACACTGAAAACACACTGACACAAAGACATTCACAATATTCCATCTATTGAGACCTACATTAACACCAATTTGTTTCCTTTTTAATTGTTATGCGTTCCTTCTGTTAATTTGTTGACAGGTAAAATTGATTATTCTCAGATATTTTCTTTTGTATTTTAAAAGTTTGATTTTTGTTCTTTGTCTCATTTTTTATTGGTTTCAATTTTTTAAAAAAAAATATTTTACTTTTATGTGTATGAGTATATTGCCTATATGTATGTGAGTGCATCCGTGTCGTGCAATGCTGCGGAGGTCAGAAGAGGGCTTCAGATTCCCCTGGACCTGGAGTTAAGGATGGTTCATAGCTGCCGTGTGGGTGCTGGAATCAAACCTGGGTCCTCTGTAAGAGCAGTCAGTGCTCTTAACCGCTGAGCCATCTCTCCAGCCCCAGGTTTCAATTTCTTATTGTGAACTGTTTTATCAAATAATCACCCTCAGCACTGCAAAGAGGTTTCAGTGAACCTGATCAGACAGCAGGCACCGGCTGTAGTTAATGTACTGAGGTGCCAGAGCAAGGCTGGAGGCAGTGGTGAGCTAGAAGCTGACTCACGCAGGCACGTTTATTTCAGGGAATGTCATGAGCTGCTCAGCAGAGACCTGCTGCTGGAATCCGCTCACAATTACCTTGTATCTGCAACTCCAGTTCCATTTCCATAGGGGTCATTCTAGCTTCCTACTTACTATGAGTTCATCCTTCAGTGAGAAATAAGGTTCCACCATCTGCTACTCCCTCACTTCATGATCCACACCAGTACACCCTTCCCCCTTGTTCTGAGGCAGGGTCTCTCTTGTTTCTGCTGCTGGTCTTTGTTCTCTGGCTGGCTGGCCCAGGAGCTTTTTCTGGGCCATTCTCCTGTGTCCACCTCCCATTTTGCTGTAGGAGTGGTGGGATTTCAGATGAGCACCACTGTATCCCGTTTTTTTATATGGATTCTTGTGTGGTGGTGCATGCCTGTAATCCTAACACTGGGATTACTGATTAAGGCTGAAAGGATTTAAATTGGAGGTCAGCCTGAGACACAAAGTGAGATGCTTCAGGTTTGCTCAGTGAAGTCACAATCTAGAATAATGATACAGATACAAAGTAACCACATCCTCTTTCCTTAAATGCCAGGCAAAATTAGGAGGGGGTTCTCAAGGATCACAGCAGACTGTACTCTCAATGGTAGTAATTCTCACCTTACAGGATGGGGAATGGGAACACAGAAGCAGTGGCTTCTTGAGGGTGGGTGGTTGCTTTTCTCCTTCACTTGGAGGGAGAGACACGAGGTACTAAAGGAGAATCCACCACAAAAAGACAGATGAAGTACTTTAAAATGATTATAAAGCAGTGAGGTAAGGACCAGATCTAGTTAATTTTAACCTTCATACTCTAAGAACATACCTTTCTTGCAGTCTCTTTGGGTTCTATTAATTTGAGAAAGCTTAGAACTTTTTCTTGTTTTGGTCAATATTAGTATGCAAAACCCACAAGAAACCACAAGCCCCCAAACTATCTCAAGCAAACTCTTTAATCAAGTGTATAATCTCCAAGGGTATTTGATCCACAGAAGTAACAGGCTGTTGATGTAAAAACTTTTAGTATTTTAGAACAGGAATTAAATTCCCCCTTCAAATTGATTCTCCAACTTCTCGTATCATATAAGGGACTAGAGTGCCTGATGAACTTTACCACCTGCAGGGTCATTTCTCCTCTGTACTCTGACAAGGTGATAAATAATATATCCAAGTTCAAAGGTCAAAACCCTCAGAATGATATATATATTTTAAATACTTTTATTGTTTTATTTTATGTGGTCAAAAGAGGGTGTTGAATCCCCTGGAACTGGAGTTAGAGATGGTTGCTAGCTGTCATGTGGGTGCTGAGCATTGAATCTATGTCCCCTCTGCAAGAGCAGCCAGTGCTCTTGACCTCTGAGCTATCTCTCTAGCCCAGAGAATGATATACTTTTTTAAATGTGCTTATTTGATCTTAAGTATCTTTAACTCTTTCTGAAACGCAGTCAGTAACCAGTTCTTGTTAAACTTTTTTTTGAGACAAGTCTCCCTGTAGTTCAGTTGGCCTGGAACTCACAGAGTACTGGCCTTGATCTCACAGAGATCCCCCTGCCTCTGCCTCCCAAATGCTGGGATCAAAGATGTGCATGCCACCAGAGCCAGTGGAAGCTTAATTATTAGCTCTCTCCCTTCCAGGCTTCGTCCCTCACCACTACTCCTCCTCTGTGGGAGACAGGCTTGAGCCTAGGGTGAAAGTCTTAATGACAGACATACAGCAGGCCTGAGATAATGGCCCAACCGCTAGAGCCACAAGGAATGCCTTGTGACATTTGCTCCCATTGGCAGATCATGAGACTGATGCCTAGAGCTCACCACTCCCTAATCACCACCCTTGGAATTCCAAATTGCAACACTTAGATATTGCAACAGTCAGGGTCATGCAGTTTCCAGGAATCCAGGCTCTGTAATCTAAAATCCATTATGCTAATGAGGCATCTGGCTCACCATACTGTGATAGGACGCTAAGCCTGTTATGCTAATGAGGTATCCTACTTGCTGTGCTGTGAATGGACCCCTACCCCTATATAAGCTTGTGCCTTCCTGAAATAAAGTAGACCTATGTCATTGAACCTGGTCTCCTGTGTCTGAATGTGGCACAGTCTCCTCACCAGCTGTCCAGGATTGGGCAGAAGCAGCGATGATCGATGATCGGAGGCAGCACCGGGCCGACAGAAGAGCGGCCTCAGCGCCAGGTAGTCAGAAGAGCAGCCATAGTGCCGGGGCCAGCAGAAGAGAGGCCTCAGAGGCCGACAGAAGAGCGGCCTCAGCGCCGGGTAGTCAGAAGAGCAGCCATAGTGCCCGGGTAGTCAGAAGAGCAGCCATAGTGCCGGGGCCAGCAGAAGAGAGGCCTCAGCACCAGGCAGGCAGAAGAGTGCCTCAGGCCAGGGCGAGACCGGCCATGTTGCCTGTGCAAGTGGAGGAGCAGCCACGGTGCCCATGAGAATGAAGGAGCGGTACCCGTGTGAACGGAGGAGTGGCTGCTGCACTTCTCCAGCTTTTTCCTCTATTAGTTTACTTTTTCACAAAGATTTTTACTAAAGTGCACATTATTCTTCCACTCAAATATTGTAGGTGTTAAGATTAAAAAAAGAAGAAATTTCTTGGTGTTACACACAACAAAACTCCTTACGATCTGAGGCTTCCTGTTATGCATTCTCTATTCCCCCCTTCTTTTAAAACATCGACTCATCTTTAAAAATATCAAATTGTTTGCATTTTCCTATCTGTAACTGAACTCCCCAAAGTTTGTAAACTGTAGTGCTACCTGAATTGAATACGAACTTCCATCACTTCCTGTGGCCATGGCAACACAATGCATCTACTAGAAGACCCACAAAAACGTGCTTCCTGGAAGTTCTTAGATATGAACATAACTTGGTTATTGAAGAAATCCAAACTCAAGGTTGCATTTATGCATTTAATTTTATTTGGTATATATCTCTATGACTTTATTGTATTTGAAATCCATTACAGGATATTTTTAAATTTTATTTTATGATTAGTCACCTCCACAAAGACAATAATACTGCTGTGGAAGACCAAAGAGGGGAACAGATATATTTATTTACAATTCTCTATATTATAAACATCGACTCTATATACTATTCCTTAACTTGTAACGAGTGTCACACGGACAAGGAAATACTGCCCTGTACTTGTATTCATCTTCAGAACAGCATATTTTATATCAGATATTTTGATTAGCATTATGCTTTCTTTAGATAAACTTTTTTCAAAAGAATTAGATATATTTAAGTGTTATAAACTAAAACTACTTAAGCCAATATATTTGGCTTATAATCTCATTTTCAGAATAATTTAAAGTGCTATAAGCATCCTGGCAGTCAACACTTTCTATAAGAACAAAACTATCTTTAAACATCAATTTACAAGATATACAACATTAATCTGGAATTGCTGAAATTTCAGCACAAAGTCACTGTCACATGTATAACAGCAGGATTTTTTTTTTGCATAACACGAAGCTCTGAAACTTAACTGATGAATTATTGCCACAAAGGCTTGTTGTTCGTCTCCTACAAAAGAGGGTAAGAACTACTAGTGTATTCTATCTTTTCATTTTTGAGACCACTTGACAGTAAGTTTGCATATTCACCAAGTCTACTGAGTTACAATATTGTCTATAAGAGCAAATGCTAATGGTAACTAATAACATATACCACAAAATATAAAAACAAATTTTTATTTCAAAACATTTTTTCTTTTTGAACAGAAAAAAAAGTATTTTGGGAATTGGTGTGCAACAAGGCTAAAACAAGAGAACTCTAAAACAGTATATCTGACACAATGTTGAAGAAATATGCATGTTTTAGTTTTTGACCTTATGATAATGCCCTATTAAGCTATAAATATGTAAATAGTATTACTTGTTTAATATATTAAATCCAATGGAATCATTAAATTCTCATTCTCCTTTGTTCATTCATAACTCTTTTATCTGATAATTCAATGATGAAAACATGCGCCCAAACCTGCAGATTGTGTGCACTGTGGTTTATTCCATTCAGAATTCTCATCAAATTTCATTTTCTTAAAATGAAATCGAAAATGCTTAAAAAATTAATAAAGAGAATGCTGTAGTGAATTAGAAGTGGTCTATGAAGTATATGTTATTTTGGCATGTGGTTTCTCCTTCAGAACAAAATGAGCAGGCCCAATGTCACTCGTGTCAACTTGTCAACTTCACCAGAACAGAAGCATCTAGACCTCATTTCCTCAATGTCCCAAGTAGACTGCTCTAGTAAAAGAAACAATCTAGATTTAAAAAAAAATTGAACAGAAGAGCACCATCCAATAGGTAGACCGAGATAATGTGAACTGAAAATGTGAGGGTCACTATGATCAAAATGCTGGCAAAACTCCGACAAACTCCATCCGTTACACTACACAGACCCAGGCCATAGTGTAAACCAACCGAACTTTGGGACACAAAAATGATTTGAAAGATTAAACCCCCAAATTATAGCTGTAGTAAATGGCGAAACAGACTAACTTCAAAGCACAAATGACAAGTTAAAGTGTATTGCTTCTTGAACATTCCAAACAATGCTTGTCCATGTCAGGTTTGGGCCATTATCCTGCGTAAACAGAGAGCACTGTATTTATTCAAAAGCCCAGATTTCAATGTCTTGGATAAAGAAATCTTCCTTCTTAGAAAGTGTACGATTTCCAAATGTTTTACAGGAATGGCTTCTTCCATGGTAGAGATCTCCATCAAGCCAAAGGGCAAATTCTCCTCTGTAATACATAAAAACAACCTCTCAGTATTCATACCCTAAATTACAAAGTAATTAATAGGGGCACTTTAATGCCCATGAAATGCCCAGTAACGTTAGGATTGTGAACTTTTCCAAACTCCTCCCTATTCCTTATGATACAGACAAAATTTTGTTCACATCCTGTTTTTAAAAATCAGTTATTACACACATTAAGAAATAAAATAAGCACACTAAAATTTCCTTCACATAGAATTAGTTTGGGACACTTGGTATAATGAATTTCTCTTTTCCATTTTTTTTTCTTTTCTAAATATTTTTATTTTTATGTGTATGAATGTACTGTCTGCATATATATTAAGAGCATCCATGTCACGCAGAGGTCAGAAGAGAGCACCGAATTCCCCTGAACTGGAGTTATGGATGGTTGTTAGCAGTCATGTGGGTGCTGGGAATTGAACCTGGGTCCTCTGCAAGAACAGCCAGTGCTCTTAACCACTGAGCTATCTCTCCAGCCCCCTCTATTTTATTTTTTCTTTGCAGAGATGGACAAAGGAGCCTAGAAAAATGGGGAGAGTAGAGAGGTGGCTGCAGAGGGAGAAGGTCCCCTTTCAAGTTAAGAGGGGGGCCAAGGAGCTCCATTAACAGTCATCTTGTGCTCTCTGCTGGTAGAAGACGGAGTCTACAGGCAGTTCAAGGAGCCCTGGTTGTATATGTGGTGGTCCCTCTGGCAGAAGTTGGAGTCGAAAGTGGGGTGGGTGGCTGGGGGACTGTGGAAGCTGGGAGATCTATTAGAGGGGGAACAGAACTGGGCAAAGAGGAGGTGGCCTGGGCCTTTTAAAAGATGAGATAAAATGGTGACGGGACTTCTGTGCAGCACAGCACCTGACAGAGGTCCCCAATGGTTTTAAAGAAGACAGTGGCAAGGTCCTAGAGCAGAAGGGGGCTTTAGGTGATGACAAGATTGTCAGCCTCACCACTGAGTTCTATAAAGGAGTCCCCATTCCCTTCTCCGTCAGGTCCTTCTCCTCCTCTGCAATAAGCTTATTACTACATATAATTTTTTTGCCCCAATGAAACCTGAAGTTTTTGAAATCCTCATTAGAAGTCTCTAAAGATTTAAAATCAGATGTAATACTTGGCTTTTCTATTTGTTTCAGGAATGTGGGTTCTATGGTTTTTATAAGTTTTAAAGGGGGTCTGTGATCCCTAAAGCTTTAGATAAATATATTCAAGAGTTATCGATCTATCCCAGGTGAAACAAACAGAAAGCACATGGTTACATGAACAATACTTTCAAAGATGAGTCACAGGACTTTCTGAAAATATAGTGGCTTAAGGAAGTAGAAGAAATAAAAGTAGTTTTCTAAATGCTTAACTAATGCCATTTAACTCATGTGTCCAGTGACATTATGAGTAGAACCCAGGCAGAACTCGTTTCAGTATCAGACATGAAAAGGTAAGGAAAGACAGAAAGAAATGAGTAAATGCGACTGTATTTTTGATTACCTACTATGTGGCAGATACTACGCTTTCATTTTACAAAGATAGTATGTTTATAGTTTCCTTACACCCCCCTACCCACCCATCATGATGAACTACCTCTAATTTATAGCCAAGGAAATTTTAGACTGTTAAGGAATTTATTCATGGTTTCAATGTTTCCTCCAAAATCTACATTAAGTCTACAAGATTACAGTGTGTGTGTGTGTGTGTGTGTGTGTGTGTGTGTGTGTGTGTTGGGGTTTGAGTATATTCCTCCACAGGTTTATAATTGATAGTGTGGTTCTGTTGAGATGCACTGGAAATGTGACACTGAGGCATAGCAGAAGGTGGTTAAGGGGTACCACCCAGGCAGAGACTAATGCAGTTTTCACAAGACTCTGTCAATGTTTTGTTAGAGCACGCCTGGATATTGTTAGAGCAAAGATGGGTACTGAATCTCTGTGGCTTCCTGCCTTGCCATGTGATTTCTTTTACATATAGTCATTTCTCTTCCAAATTCTCTGCTGCGGGGTGAAAGAGCAAAAGGACCTCACCAAAGGCAGATAGATGAGGCTGTCCAATATCAAACGGTCAGTCTCCAAATCTGTGAAATTAAACAAACCTCTTTTCTTTATAAGCATACAGCTTTAGGTTTTGTTTTTTTCTTTTAACAAGAGAAGATAGTCTAATGTAGGGTTTTTTCTACAGAATTCTGAAAGAGTAAGTCCCTAGAGTCTATTTTTTGAACATGCATTTCTTTTTTTTTTTTAAACTGAATTTTTTTGTGTTTTATACAGAACATCTCAAACAATCTTAATCCTCTTTATACCCCCGTCCCCACTGGCACCCTCCCACACCTCCCCCATGGGCACCCACGTACACTGTCGTCCATGTTACGCACTCAGCAGACTCCAATCTTATCTAAAGAAATATTGGCAGCTGACTGCTGCTAGGTGAAGAAGAGCTGATCTTCCTAAAAGATGGGATTCTAAACAGGCTGACTAGACCTCAGTGGATGGACTTGCACTGAGGGATGTCTGTGGACACTGACTTGAACATACATTTCTTAAGAAATTGCAAACATATCTTCTTAACAAATTAGTTGATGGTTAGCTATTTTGTAGAATCACATTGCACAATTAAATCTGGTTATCAAATGAAGCTGCTTATGTTATTGCTAAGGGCTCTATAACAGCCTAAAATTGTAACACTTGATTGTGAGTTCTGGGGGAGCTAGGATAATAATGTGCATGACAACCACTTTGGGGGGGGCTGAGCTAATAATACTCTATACCAAAAGAGGTGAAAACTGAACATGGTAACACTACAGGCCGAGTCCAGCAACTACAAATAACTGAGAGGGCTCTACAAGTATGGCTACTAAACATCTGAGCATATTTAGACAGAAGAAGAAAATCTGCTAGAATTACCTTGGATGATGCATCTTCTTGAAGGCTACTAAGATTCTCTGGCCTAAATTTGTAAGTACTATCTATCTACAATATACACAAATACTGTATTTTACAAATCTGGGAATTATTTAGCATGGTGTATTATCTTAATGAAGGAAAGGAAGAACTATCTATGAGAGCAGCTGAGGTAAGCAGTACTGAGTAGACTGGCAGGAAGCAGAGGGGCTACATCCAGATACCATGACACTAAGCAAGGTGGAGGTATTGGAATATGAAAAAAAGGCTCTTCACAGTGGTTGTTACACTACAAGAATAAAATGGCTTGGTTCATACTACTGAAGATCAGCAAAAATTTTTTATAGGAAAATTTATACTTGTCTGAAATGCCGATCCAAATAACCTCCAGAGAAAAGTTAAAATAAAACAAAACAAAACAAAAACTACTGGGTTTGCCCTACACAATGAGACAACATACTACTGAGTTTATTCGAAATTTTGATATATTTCAAGATGTAAGGACAGTTCCATTTCAAACTTCAAAGTCAATGTATGGTAAAGAGAAAAGGTTTTAAAGAAAATCACCTAGCCAGCATTTTAAAATGAAGAAAAAATACCTTACCAATTGTGTAAAATATTATACTTAAGTACCTTCAAAATATACTTTCTTTAACATAATATACAAATTTGGATTCTAAATTTGAAAGTCAAAACTCTCACAGGTCATTTGTTTTGCAAAGAATCCAAATATATTTTATTTATTATTTTTATTTTATGTGTATAAGTATATTGCCTACATGTATGTGAGTGCACCCATGTTGTGCAATGCTGCGGAGGTCAGAAGAGGGCTTTGGATTCCCCACGAACTGGAGTTAAGGATGGTTCATAGTCGCCTTGTGGGTGCTGGGAATTGAACCCAGGTCCTCTGCAAGAGCAGTCAGT